CAGCTGGAGCAGGAAGGGGGTTTGGGCATTTTGCACACGAGCTGAATCAGATTGAGGTCCGCAGAAGCTGAGAGTTTGGGCGGAAAGGGCTGGTCATCTGGTTGATAGCCATATCAAACTGATGGCCAAAGCAAGGGCATGAGCTGAGAGAGCCTGTACTGGAAGACCCCAAATTCATGCTAAAAACATGCAACAAGGGGCATGTAGAGATGGAGCGGGTTGGAGCAGGCTTGTCAGGAGGGGAAGGTGAGCTGGGGAAGAGGGAGGCAGCACGAGGCAGAAACCAGAATGACAAACAGACCCAGGTAAAGATTGGAAGCTAGGAGGATAAATGGGATCAGGGTCAGGGGAAAGGCCAGGAAGCAGGAATAAGCAATAAAGGTTGCTTGCTGCAGCCAAGGAGCATGTCCAGCTGTTGAGGGACTGGAGGACTTTGCATGTTTGACAGATGAAGAAGCCATCAAGCTGCTCGTCCTGTGTTGCTGTGGTTTATCCAGGACCTTTGGTCCTTCTGGAACTCCGTGCTGGAGAGTGGCACTGATGTGCCTGGAGGAGGCAATACTGGGGATAGGTTTCTCCTCTGCCACTGACTTTGCTGTCTGTTTGCTTTTGCTAAGACTGAGGAGCCAGAGCTTCAGTCTCTAGAGCTGTTGTTATAGCACTTTTTCTTGCAAAACCCAACCAGTGCCAGTCCTTCAAAGACCAGCAGTCAAGACCACAAATCATTAGCTTAAAAATGTAATATTAAAAAGTATTCACAGGGTGGTTCACTCTTGTTTTCTGGTGCTTTTGAGGCTCGAGCTTGATGGCTTTGTCTGTAATTCCAAGGCCTAAACACAGACTTGTGGAGAGTTTGGGGGCGGGGGGATGTTTGGTTTGTTGTTTGTTTTTTTTTTAATGATGCTAAGGGAAGTTGTGTTTTTGAGATGCAACCCAAGTCTCTGCAGTCCTTACAGCTGCTGTGGTAGAGGTGCAGCAATGCCAGGGCACACGAGGGCTGACACAGCTGCTGTGGCCTCCAGCTGCCTGTCACTGTATCAGAGGCAGAAGTAGCTGCTGCTAGCTTGCGGGGAGTCTCTGCATGACTGAAGAGAGAGAAGCAATTCCTCGATTACAGGAATTTAGGCTTCTTCAAGGAAAATATTCCATGTGAGACCCACAGCACGTCACAAGCTACCAAAATTGCAGGCTGGCTTTCAGGAAAACAAGATGTCAGTGGTACTTCCAAACTGGGTAGCTAAGGTTTTTCTCACCTTTGAAGCCATTTTTAATGTGAGCTACCAAAAATGGGGTACATACCAATCACCAGAGCCTTCCTATGGTGGTTTTTTGGTGGTGTTGTTGGTTTTTGGTTTTTTTTTTTTTTTAGCTTCAGTTGACTCCACTCCTGCCTCCCTTGTGGACCAGGGTGTGCTCACAGGCAGCCCCAGACAACCAAAGCGTGACTGTTGTGCCACGTGCTGGCTTGTGTGAAGGGAGCAGAACAGGGATGAGTGACAGATTTCTGTTGTCCTATGAAAATACTGTTAAGGATACTTTTTTGTAGTCTTAGAAATGGTTTCTTCCTGTCTTGGGAAGTCTGTAATAAGAGAGTTGAAGGCAAAAAAAGAAAGAGAAAATAATGCTGTTTATTTAAATAATGCTGTTTATTAATGGTGGGTATTTCCAATTCTCCACTGCAGCACAGAAAAACAAAACAAAAACCAAAACCAACACCCAAAAAGCCCCACCTGGTATGTCTGTGAATAGCTTTATAAAACTTCTCAGGGAAAAGTAACAGATGAAACCACCATCTAGAGCTGGAGCTGCTGTGTGTTTGTTAGCGTTTTCCTGTGCAAGCAAGCGTGATGACTTGCCTACACAGATCTCAGTATTGCTTAGGCACTGGGGTCTCAAATGAAAATGTAGTTGGACCTTTTTTTGCTCCAGTTTTATCTGTGACTTTTTATTTTGTGGTTTTAATAGTAATCGCAATGCATATATACCAGAACGTTGAGAATTTCCTATAGTATTTTGTTGTAACCATTTGGATGACAATGTCAGTCTTACCTACGTGAAATCTATGGTCTTGGAAAAACAGACTTAATAATTTTAAAAAGACTGATAAACCTGAAAAATCGTTTGTGTGCAGGGCCTACTAGTATGTTCCTTAAGCTTCTTGCACATGGGAGGTGTAAATGCTTGAAGCTCTTCAGAATGAGAGTGGGATAACCCCCAAAAAAAACCTAGTCTCTGGCAGCACTATTTTCCAGTAGCAGTGAATTACTACATCCTTTTAAAAACTAGCACTTGATCTGAACAGGTTCATCTCTGCTGAAGAGGTTTGTGCTGTAATTACAACCGATTGAGAAGCAAGAAGTTACTTTTGACACCTGCTGAGCATCCCCTCTAGAAAAGGAGGCACTGATACCCCACTTCTGCAGGTTCTTCAGAAAATTCACTGTTGAGAAGCTCAGGTGCCTGTATGGGCACTGCATGGTGTAAAGACAGTTATTCCAGCTTGAATTTATGTGCATGTTTGGAAATGAATCTTTTTAACGTGTCTACTCCTACAGCATGAGCAGTGCTATTACACAGGCATAACTGGCACTTTCTAGATGGGAAAGGATGGGCATGTTTAAAAAAAGTGCTGGGATAAAGAACAGGGTAAGCAAAGCAGAGGCTTGGATGGGAGAAAGCCCATCAATTTAATTTTATGAATTTTATTTATTTATTTTTTTTTAAGGCCAGCATTACCAGAGGCACTCTCAGCTCCTGAGACAAAAACACACTTTCGCAATGGAAGCAGCAGCCTGAACCACAGGACATGTTTCAGAAGGGTGGTCTGCAGGGCATCAATTCTCTATTTGAGGAAAGCTGGGGCAAACTCTACAAAAAGGTTGGTGGTACAGACCTGTGACAGGTCATTTCTTGGCTCTCAAATATGGGTAACTTTCATTTGTTCTTTCATTCTTCAAAGATCAATGCAAACCTTTATTTTCTATAAATAATTTAATAAATACTTTTGTTTTACAATGATACAACAAATAACAAATTCATAGCAAACGAGTCACAAAGAATTTAGGATCAGTATATTTTAATAAGGTATCAGTGTCAAAATACATTTCCTTATCAAGTTAAAGTTCCCATACAGATATAATATTGTCAATAAGAATTCAGCAATATAGATTATGAAATAATTATGATTAAAAGTCTGATTAATATTAAGACATGGAATATTTTTCAGAGTGTTTTAGTAAACTGTTAGGGTATAACATTTTTAATGCTGAAACTACACACATAAGAAACAGAAGAGCAGTATTCAAGTGTCTTTAATCCTTGAAGCCTTTAAGTCCTTGCCACTGCAAATTTGTCAAACCTGGCTTGCCAATTTTAATCAGATTTTGATGCTTACAATTTTTTGACACAGTAATAACTTCACTTTAGCTTATTTTTTGTAATAAACTTTTCAAAAATTGCCTACAATAGGGACTATCATTTTTTTTTTACAGTATGTACCAATAACAAAAGATCTTCAGCTTTTCTAAGTGTATGTGGTTAAGACTTACCACAGCGAACTCTGAAGTGCTCAATGAACCCAAGGCTCCCTTCTCTGCAAGTGTCAGTGCATGATAATAAAGCAGTTTTATAAACCAGACTGCAGCAGAATCGGAAGTCTCACAAGAATATATCTTTATTTTAAGCTTCTGGGCCAGGTTTTTACTTTTTGTACATTGCCAGTATTCCATTTCTTCAATGAAGCTATGATGATTTATACCAGCGGAGGAACCAAGATGATCTGTCCCAACATATATTTAGGTCTGTACGTATTTTAAAGTCAGAACTGCTCACCTGCCTTTTATTACTTAAATATTTTTGCTGTTTAAATATGTTTGTTGTAATTGAAACTTTCAAATCCCTTTGAAAGCATTTAAAGATGACTTATTTTTTTTAAATGTGTGCATGACGACTACTGATAGTTGGAAAGGAGCTCTGAAAACGTCTGGCTGCCTTTTAAGGACACTTCAGCTACTGATTAATGTAAGGCAAGTAAAAATGATAGAGCCCTGCCTGCCAGCTATTCGTCTTACTACACAATCCTTAGTTCTTTTTGTCTACCTGTAACTGAGTTAGCCTAATATGCTGGGAAATACCACTTTTAACTTTTAGTTTTAACAAGTCTATATTGGTAGCTAGAATACAAAATTAAAAAGGCTAACATTAATCAGAGGTGTTAGTACTGGCCACTGGTCAGATTTCTGAAATACCAGTGAGACCATAACAAATAGTACTAGTTCTAGCAGAAACAGCTCTCGAAATTGATGTGTCCTAGATATAGCAAAAGTACCAAGAGATGATTAACAACTGACCCAGAGAGAAATAAAAAAACAACAAACCTGTTTTGGTTTTGTGTTTAAAAAAACCAACAAAAACCAAACAAAAAACCCCCTATAACACAAAAGAAAAGAACCCCAAAGAACAAAAAAAGAAGCCCCAACATGAATGAAAACACAGGTCAAAATCCTCCACTGGGGTAAATCTGTAGGACTCCCTTGGCTGCAGAGCTAAGCCAGGTTAAGGCAGCTGAGAATGTGGCTTGCATCTGAGGGGAAAAAAAGCTCACAACGTGCAACTTTCACAGATACCCATAAACATCGCAGTTCACCATTCACATTTCTTTCAAAAAAGTGTATAAAAAAGGAAGGGAAGCTGGGGAGGAGGATGGCCGGGATTATTCCTTAGTATGCTTTTTCAAAAGTTATTAAAGTTACAATATGATAAATGCTGGAAAACAGAAAGACTCAAAGGATTTCAATTTGGCAGATCAACAAAAAACTGTGGTTAGAGATCAAATTTGTTTCATTCATCTTTGGCAATAAAAATAAATCTTTGCAGTACTGCAGCCAAAGTTATCACATGATGAGGCATTTATACCACAGCTTGATAATAGCATGAAATTTGAAGAAAATTTCAGAGTATAAATTACAGGTAATGATATAAGGGAAGGGTAATCAAACTCTCTAAACAACACTTTAATTGCAATAGAGAAAATACAGTAGATGTATTTCTTTAATATGAATAATAAAGTGAGTAACTTCAAAAGGCCACTATTTGGTAACGTGGACAGGTTCAATATCTAAGTAAAATCCTGCAACAGTGTATTGGTATTAGAAATTGTCTACTTGCAAAAATATATTTAAAAACTGAAGCTGTTTTGAACAGTATAGGCCACAGAATATTGCAGGATCGCTCAGGTTGCCTGGTCCAGTGCTCTGAGCAGTTCACTTCCCTGCAGAAGCGTAGAGCTGCCCAAAACAGGGACGTTCACCTCACAGTCATATCTTGTCAACTCGGGCAACAAGTAGGGTTCAAAGGAAGGCCCCAGCAGGCGACTGGTCATACCTGGAAGAGAGCAGGGGAGTCAGTCATGGCGCTAAGAGCAGAGAGACAGAGGACTTCTCTCCTCTCCTCCCTCTTCTATTTATACCAGTTGTAATTTCATTTTGTGTTTATGTCAATATGCCTCAAACCACCAGCAGTTTCAAATTTCAGAGCAAATCTAGGCATTGCTCTGCCTTAAACTACAGTAAGCGTGTTCACACAGACAGGTGCAGTTCTTCACCTCCACCCCCAATTTAGATTGTTCTTAGAAAAGTGATATTGGTGCAGATAAGGAAGGCTGTAATAAACAACACAGTTTCTAAATTGACACTCGCTTCCATTATATATTAACAAACAGGGACATATATATATATGTCCTCTTTAATAACTTATTTTAACTTTTAGAAGACAAGTGTTAAGACCCTAACCTACAAACCTCTCATATATCAATGCTGCAAGTGCCATTGTTTAGTACAATCTAATCACTCCCATCACAAGGCAAGAGTATGGATGGAGGATGACTGGACCTCCAAGGTAAGATGTATTAATTTTAATTGAAATGAAGGGCAAAAATAGTTTTTCCTCATTTTTGACAAATACAAACATTAAAGTTTCACACTAAACCACAGAACTTCCTGTTCTATGAAGCAATACATATTTGGTTCCTGGTTTATCACCTTCCTCATATTTTTTTAAAGTGTTTTCTTTCATGGACTTAGTACTGGAACTAAATAACACTTTCCAATTTCTGTATCTGACAGCTCTTACCTGATGCTTTATGAGCTGGCTGGACACTACAGTCCTGATAATGGGAACTGTAAAACAGAGGGGGAAACGCTCCTGCTTTCAAATTCTCCCCTGGACTGCCACAGGTGGGTTGTTGTTGCTGTTGCTGCTGCTGCTGTTGTTGCTGCTGCAGTTGATTCATTGGTTGACTCAAACTTCTCCAGTTACAGACAAAATCATCTGATTTACATTGTAGGGGAAAAAAAAGTTAAATTAAGCCACTGTAACAATGTAGTAGATAATACTAATCCAGAGCAAAGTGATCCTCAGCGTGACGGTCACATGGCGTATGCATACCTACACCTTGTCACAAGGGAAGTCCAGAAACAGCACTGGCTCTAGAAGTAGCATTGCACCCAAGATATGCTTGTGTAAGGAAACACAGTGTTGTAGGCAGAAAGTATCAGTTCTGGCTCTGAGATCTCCGCACCTTGGATCAGCACGAGGTAAACCCATGTCCATTATGCTGACATCTGCTACTTCCAAGCAAAGGTGTGAATGTACATGAAACCATCTACCTGGCAGTTACCAAATATACTTTTAAATTGTCCAGCTCTTAGTAATACAACCTGATCTTTAATTTTAGCTTAGTGTAATATTTACAGAGCTTATTTACATTTCCTTTTGAAAGAGTTTTTGTTTCTATTCAATCTGTCTTAAAATTGCGAAACGGATTTCTTATGTCTTACCAGTAAGAACACTTGTGCTGAGAGACTTTTTTTCTGTAACCAAGGAACAATTTTCTCCTTTGAGAAATTTCATTCTCTTCCACATGAGGTGAGATGGGTTAATGATAGATGGATCTCCCTAGAATGGGAAGAAAAGCAAAATGAATAATTATACCTATGACCATGGTGAGTCCAAGGTTGTGAAGGGGATGCATTCCTTCTGCTTACCCCACTCAGCTGCTGCAATGCTTGTTCTTCATAATTCAGTTGTCGCTTCAGTTTCAAACTGTTAGACAGAGCAATTCTTGCTGGGTTTATATCTATGCCTCGTTGCCCAAAAGCATCCAGGGGTCTGTGGAGAAAAGTTATCTGTGTGAGTGATCAGGGAGGCAAACCTAAACCATCTTGTTGATTGATACTGATTCTTCTTTCATGTAAGGTGTCTTTGACATATGACAGTGGACAGACCTCAAACAAATGTTTTTATTTCATTTTGTTAGTCATCCCACAAGCTCTGGAAACTTTTGATTTTTAGGATCAAAGACTAATGTAAATCTAGCATAAACAGCCTCTAGTTATCTCCACACAGACATAAAAATGCTGTGGAAAAGAAATTCATGTGATTTTTTTTAACGACAGGATTTTGAAAGCCACACCTGTCCTCTTGCTTTGCATGCTAAACATGAACACAGCGGTTGTTGTTTGGGGACAAACCCTCTCTTTCCACATGTATTTTCAGACACTTGTATTTCTGCCAACAACAAGAAATCCCAGAAAGCAAGCTGCAAGTACAGGGCACAGCCTGATGTTTTAAAATGCCCATTGCTATTTTATGGACTTCCTGAATGTTTTAGCATGACCCACATTCTGCATGCTACCCAAGAGCTACAAAGAAATTTGTATCTGAGATAGGAAACTTCTAGGACTGCATTCTCTGGTCTACATCTCATCCCATACTGCTCACATATGTAAGAAAGCAATCAAGGGAAAGAAGGGCTGTAGAAAAAAACCCTGTAATTTCAAATCTTTGCTGTAATATTTATACACACCAACACTAAATGTACTGCCACCCCTCCCTCTCCCCTATTTTCTGTTGTACAAAATAAGAAAGTATGCATGGCTCCCAGCTTACTGCTGCATCAGTAAGCCTTTTCAGAGTATTTTTCTAACTGCAGAAAGTCAAGCAGGCTTTGCAAAGATCACTTGGGTAATCTTTACCTGACCAGCAGGAAATCCATTCTTGCACCTTACAGAGAGCAAAAAAATTGCCAACTTCTACTCCCCGTAGACTGCCTGCTGCTGGGAGAGCGCCACATTAATTTCCCCAAAAGTGCAGTCTGATGCTATCAAAACAACTATTCCAGCTGAATTGAGAAATTTTTTTCAGTATTATCACTTCCTACATTCCCCCACATATTTTGCGTAAAATAGATAGTTATACCCCAAAAACGCTTACCTTTTTTTACATATGGGCACACTGGGAGAATGTACTGGTGGCCCTGAAGGGGAACTTGATAGGGATCCTGAGTATTTATCCATGAGTCTCCATTTAGCAGGAACATATTCTAATGGGGGATCAGGTGGCCACTGGGTGTTTGGTCTTCCTCCCATCGAAGACAGGGGAGTGCTGGCTTGGTCCTGGTATGGTGGCAATGACGACCTACTCACGTTGTTGAAGAACACTGATGACGGGGACCCGTGACCAGGTTTCATGTTTTTATTTGATAGCTGTGGGCAGTATTTCTCTGGGAGGAACTGATTCTGTGAAGCAGAAGCAAGGGGTTGGAAGATGGTACTCATGCTACTTAGACTCTGCTGGGTATTTTGTGCACTTTCAGAGAGGGGACGTTCTTCTTGGCAGATTGGGCTGAGCTGGAAATCTTCTCCATCCATAGGAATGTAAGGAGCCAAGGTTTCAAGGTCCAGTTCATTGAAGTCAGTCTGAATAAAGTAAGTTGATAAAGAAATTAAAAGTTATTAATAGTTGTGGCAGTTAGCATGATATGAACTAGTAAATGTGAAGCTGAAAAATGACTTTATGCCAAATTTACCTACATGAAACTGGCCAGCTCCTATTTTAAAATGTCTTATTTTTATGACTAGCATACATGTTCATATCATTGTCAAAGAAAACTGAAGAAAAAAACTTCCAGATAAGCAGTATTTGCTAAAGCAGCTTGCATGCAGCTTGTGATCTGAACTAGATCTTGTGTTTCATTAAGCTCTGAATAACTTGTCTGCCAAGACTCTACAACATGTGGCATGTAGTTCAACCTCAGGCTTTTTCGTGATAAAAACCAGAAAACAACACAGCTTTCTCATAACCCAGCTACATGAAAAAAATGCACCTAAAAATGCAAAAGTTTTCAAAAATGTAGTTGGAAAAGACACCATTGCACTTTAATCTGCTTTTCTTTTTTTCCTTGGAGAACCAGTCATATTTAAATTCATTTCTCTTGGCATTTGACCAGAGCTGAACAGAATGGGAAATGAAATGAATGTCGGCCCACCAGTCAGCTCCTGACAGGGACACTTTTCTAGCACTCATTTTTGCCACCAGACAACCCTGCCAATGTGGTGGGACACACACACACCTGCGCAAGCAGATGCTGAGTCCGATGAAAGTCAAGTTTGCACGTTAGGTTTTGCACTGAGTTTGATCCGGATCCACATTTTCCTCCTATCTGTGCACTCTTTCTGTTGTTTTCATTGCTGTTTCTAAGTCCAAGCCTAGATAACATTTCTTCAGGAGATAGCCTGCAGCCTACCTATATCTTACTAAGTCTGCGAATTGCACTCGCAAATTGAGGCTCCTCATTTTGGTCCAAATCACCCCAAATTTTCCATTGGAATAATAGAAGGAGATGAGCATAAGGTCTGAGCTGCCAGCCAGCACTGCCTGTTCCTTTCTCTTAACTATTAAGAACTATAAGCTCTTAACAAAGGCATTTCAATTAAGTACCTAAAGTTGGGTGGGCTGAATCAGGCCTACCCCTTTTATTTACTCAATGTAATGTTGCAAGAGTGTAGGCTTAACAGAGTAGTTTATATGGGGAATTTATACACTTACACTCTGATTAGAATGCAGGAAACTGGTACTTTATGTGCAAGTAATTCTCGAATCTCTCTGAAATCCTCCAAGAGATAAGAGGAATACATCCAAAATGACAGTTTTCATTTTGTAGTTAAAGGACTCATGTGCTATGAGGAGCATTTCTTCCTCACTTTAAGGTTTTGCAAAAATTAGTTTATTTATGTTCTATTCTAGAAAGGATGTTTACTTGCTAATCATTAGGCCAGAGTAAAAAAATAAATAAGCTGCTGCTTATATTCCTTATGCAGTCTACAGGAGTGTCCAAATTCTGAAAGCTCTCTGCTGCTTCTTCCTTCTTAGCAGTGCCACCACAGTGACACTCTAAGGAGTGTCAGGAGTTAGGGACAGACATCTACACCCCAGCTTTAAAAGTGTATATTTTTGTTAAGTGTTGTGCATTGAAGTTTTGGCATACATGTGCAGATGCAGTTTGCACGTATGTTACTATATCTGCACACACAGCATGCATCTGTGCTACCTGCTAGCAGGGGACTGATTTTATGGCTTTTGGGAGATGTTAGTTCCTTACCTGGGAGTTGCACTGATTTTTTGATTCTGTGTCCATGGCAAAGAGTTTTTCAATCACCTCAATCTTAAGATCTTCATCCACAGAACTGTAATAATCTCCTGGGCTGCTTGGCTGCACAGAATAAGAATTTGCTATAAGCAGCAAGACAACCACAGTATTGGCTTAGCATCACGTAGTGTATACTGCACTATTCAGTAACTGATCTTTCCTATGATACCAGGCTATACATAGTGTCCTCAAAAAACAAAACTGTCTGCTTCTATCATATGCTTTTCTCCAACACAAGATTACTTGTCACTACAAAATTTGAGAGGTATACTGATTAGCAAACGCACCTTTGTCTTAGTTTGAATGTATTTTTGGCAAATCAGACCAGCAACATGAGATGTAGGCTATTAAATTATGTGTGTCAAGAAGGAAGACGCTTAGCACTACCTCAGTGTCTTTATTAAAATTGGACATGCTCCAGCTCTTGGGGCAATGCCCTGAAAGCACATTAATTCTTTCAGTGAGGAACTCCATGGAGCTGCTCTTAAATGCCTGAGTTGGGTAAAATTTCTGGACCGCACAATTTTTACACTAGCTTTTTATTTGAAGGCTAACTCCATGAAAGATGGTACAGTAGGGATAGAGATGCACCCGGCCTTGTTAATAAGCAATGAGATAGGACTGCTAACATGGAAACAGCATCTACATATATGGGTGGGGCTTAGTTACAAAACATAACATGCAATTTTATTTTTTAAAAAAGCTCTTCTTACCGTGGAACAGCTACTGTTGCTGCTTGCACTTGGTGTGCTGCTGCCAGGCGCGCTCTGAGGCATTGTAAAGGATGGTATTGTCAGCGTTTCACCTTGAGCAGCGTGGCTTTTCACTTCCACTGGCCATGTTTTGTTTGGTGCCAAAACAACACTGGGGAAGGCAGGGGCTTCCTCAAAATTCTGTGTCCCTGGATGGAGTTTTAACAATATTAATGGACTTTTTTAGGTTGTGCTGTGTTATGATATAATTGCAGCTATTCACTGAAAGTAAACACTGCTCCTAGTTGCCATGACAATAAGTTGGCATAGACTTAATGCCTGTTGTTTAGTCAGCAAGAAAGCCTGATTCTGCTCCCATTCACAGAAATTTTCCACTGGTGTGAGCACGTGGACTCTTATAGCCATTACTCCTGATTTGTACACATAGCAAACAGAACTTGTCTGTTAAATTTCTAAATGTAGGCTCACACGTGGTTCTTTGTTGCACAAAAATTATTTATACAAATACTAACCAAAATCCAGGGAAATAATGGCGTCGCCAGGTGTTGGTGCCAGCTGAGCAAGTTCCTCTGGTTCCTCCTTTAACTTAGTAAACAAGAAGTCGCTCTTCTCGGTGCTGGGGATGCTGCTCTCGTAGGCGCTGCTCATCGCCAGCAGGTGAGGCTTGAAGAGTGATTCTGTTTGGTCCATGGAGAACACAACATCGTTCTTCTCAATTTCACTAACAAGAAAATAGGTTTTAGGTATTTTGCACTCTAAAAGAAAAAAAAGATGTGGGTAATGCAGGCAGTGCAAACTCTCTAAAGCTGGGGCCCATACGAGTGCTTTGGCATCTCTCGGTCCCATGCCAGGCTGGACAGGCGAGGCATGGTTCCAGCGTTGCTGAGCACCACCATCTCAGATGACGCAGAGAGTGTGGTCAGGACTTCTGTGGGAATACTCAGGGCTTTGTTGCTCTGCTTTTTAAAAGGATGTAGTCGAGGCTATAATGACCCAGACTATCACTCAAATAAGTATTTCCTATTTTGGCCCCATCTAAGACCAAAAATACTTGAGTTTTGCCAAACACAGGCAAAACTCCTGATTGGTCCTGAGTTTTGGGGTGGAAAACAGCTTCTCCTAGCAACAGAAGATACAATTACTACTTAATTTTATTTCTCTATCACAGCATGAGGAAAAAAAATATTAGCAGTTGTGTTACACAAAAAAATCTTCTTCATACTCTGTTGTAGCAGCAGAGCAGCCACTCTGCAGAAGAGTGGTGTATTACACCAGCGTGTATGGAAATGGGCACGCCACATTTTTCATCGATGTCTAACATCAGTAAACAAGACTGAACAAATATGACTAAACTGATTCCAGAATAACAACCCTGAATAAACAGATCCTTCAAAAGTTCCTCTGATTATTGCTTTTCCTCCAGCACACGAATCCATACATGGGTTTTCTGTCCCGTACAACTTACTTACCTCAGCACGTAGTTGACACAGACAATGCACTGAGGCTGCAGGTTGCGCGTGTTGTAAATCACCGTTCCTTGCGTCTCCAGCCATACGTAGCCGCCGTGCTTGGCGAGCATCCGGTACTGGCCCGTCACTACTTGACCTTTTGTGCACACTGAGAAAAGGGGGCAGAGTGGTAGGGATAATGCAGCAGGACAGGAACACACAATATGTAAACGCTTGTTTTAAATAAACCCGCTTCAGAGTTTTCTGAAAACTCTGAATGCAGTTTTGCATAAAGACATTTGTTAGCAAGGATGCTTAACTTTGGGGAAATCTGGCCATTTTAAAGACAAAAAGGGCTGTTAATTTGAGGTCTCCACATGCGTGGCATGTGAGTTCTTTAGATGGTCTGAGTATTCCGATCAGAGTAAATGCAAAGAAAAAATATCCCATCCTCTGGCAGTAGGGCTGGAGTATGCAAGCAGTACTTGTACCAATACCAGTTTGCAAGCAGACATAGTTGCACTGTGTAGCCAAAGTGGGAACTGGCTCTGCTAAACCTTTGACCACACTGGCAATCTTTCCCTTTAAACAGCTTTTGTGCCTGAAGGCAGTACATCATCAAACTAATGCCCTAAAAGTAATGCAATTTGACTCAGTAAGTCTGGAAACTTGATTCTGCAGTCTTTGTAGTGAAAAAATCCTTGTGAATGTGACCACTAACGGAAGCTATTTCTTGTCAGTCTCTCCTACATCCCCACCATGCAAATGCACAAATCCAGGCCTATGAAATGCAACAACTGTTTGGCAGATAATTGTTGCTGTGTTTATCCTTCTCTCTCTCTGAAGTTTGTTTGTTTTCTTCCTAGGAGTATTTAATCATCCTTCATTTAATTTATTTAGACAAAGTAGAACATTACTTTTATTGATTAAATACTTCTGGTGGACCAAAATCAAAAGGCTTTCATTTCAAAGTGTTTTAGTGACTGGACTGTTCTGCTCTGTTTGTGAAACATAATTACACTGCTTCCTAATCATCAGCTCATCAATAAGAGTCACAGTGTAGGCGCCTGTTACATTACAAAGAAGCTTTTTACTGCTTTAATCTTTTTTATTATTATTATTCAAAGCATGTCATGTTCTGCTATAATAAAGAGCAGCAGAATCCCTCCGTGGGGTAATCTCATAAATTATTAATATACTCCTGACTGCTGACTTTGTTATCAACACTCATTAAGGTTCTGCCTTCAGAGTGAACTTCTCAATTCTTTTTTTTTTTTATTTAAGTATACATTACCTGTATCTTTACAGAACTAGTAACATCTCAAATGAAACAGGCTGCGCTTATGTTCCTTATCTCCTTAGGGAGAAGGCAGGGAGGAATTTATTGAACACAAAATTTGGTTTTTAATTGCTGAGAGACCCTTGAGAAATACAATTCACTTGGAAAGCTTCTTGAACTTCTGCTATATGCTACAAAGTGCCAGGTCCCAGATGGTGACATTCGGCTCCCCACTGAAGTCAATAGCAAAATTCCCATTGGCTTTAATGGCAACAAGACCAGACTCTAAATGGAAGTGATCATAGATTATTAATCGCTGAATTGGAAAATAATAGCTCTGTATTCAATCTTTTGTGTAGATTTATGTAACAAGACAGAGATTTTCACCTTGCTTGCATAACATTTAAAAAACGGCGTATGCTAAACACTGCCAAATGCATTCTAATCTTCCATTTGATGGTGGCTAATGAAGACTTTCGTACTCTCTATGCAACTATTCTCTCAGCCAAGAACACAAACGCTATTGTGGCTTATTTGAGTGAAGTTGTTATTTCACCTCAAGAAAAAAAATATCGACCAAATGCAGTACAGTAAAACTGCAATAACCATGATCTATCACTAAATTAGAAGGAAAGGGAAGGACTTCTGCTTCTATCCAAGAGACTAATTTGAAGTTTTTCTCCCTCTTTCTTCAATCTTCAGTCTCCTTCCTTCATTTCCTATGCAACTTTACAACAATAAATGGTTGGCACTGTCAGAATTGATGGCTGTATTAATGCATTAATATATACTCTATATACAGCATATTTCTAATAAAAGTTATTGATTAATAAATGTAAGTGTGCCAAACATGAATTCTGAGGTCGATATTCCCATGTATAAACAAACATGTCCAAGCAGAACAAATAAGTTCTGCATAGCTATGTGCTAGAAAGCACTAGTAAGTTGTGTGTAAGCCATATACCTGCTTGGTTACCCTGTGCATTAGACAACACCTCAATGGCACACATTATGAAATTCAGAGGATTTATGTGTGTTTTCTCAAGTCATAGCTTGCTGTCACATTGCCCTTGTGGTTGTTCTCAGAGTTGGTAAGAAGCCTGACTGTCCAGAAGACATGGGAGGTATTTATCATAGAAAAACTAGAGGGGTCAAATCTGCTGGCGATGTAAACTGATGGTTCTGTTGTAAGCAACAGCATTTATCACAGCACAGACTTTGGTCCTGTGCTTTCAACAGGAAAGATCATCCATGCTGATCCTGTGCTATCATAAACACTATGGAGCAGTTTGGCCCTCAGTATTTATAACCCACACAGCGCACAGTGCCTTGAGCACTTTTGCTGGTACAACTCACCCCTCTAGACTTTCCCCTGCCTTCATTCTGTTTCTCGACCAGTCCTCATGCCCAACACCAAAAGCCTGTAGGACATGGCCCTTTTCAGTAGGCACAAGCAGCATCTAGACAAACTCTGTGCTACATGAGGGGAATGGAATTGCTAGAGGAGCAACCTCCACCAATGCATGGTCAGGATGGGCTCTAGAAACTGTTCAGAAATCTCTACATGGACAAGTCCCACCTCAATGGTCTCATTTGCTTGGCTCAATAGGGATAACCAGCACAGGCTCGCTCTCTCACTCCTGTCACCAAAGAGACTGCCAGATCTCATTTCTTCCCCTCCTTGGTGTTGTCCCCTTCTCGGAAATGCAACATGGCGATTCAGAGCAACAGTGCAGCATACCCACCAACTGCTCAGGACGGCTCCTTATAGCCCGGCGTAGGTTATGGACATCCTATCTATGAATGTCACTAACTTCTTTTCACTATTAAAAGCATGAACACGTTACCTACAAAACAATTTTCACAAATGCATTCCCAGACAACTCTCTGCAAATATCATGTGATTTATCTTTATTTATTTTATATTTTTTTAAGCAGCTCTGGAAACAGGATGATTCATACCAACGCTGTTTTACAGCACACAACTTTAATCATTGCCAAACATTCTTTCAAGTATCATTTCAGCTCAAAGCCATCCTGAATCCCTGCCATTACAGCTAATGCATATTCCCTTTTCCCCTTAAGGTCAGGCAGTTATTCTTTGCTGCTACTTTTCTCTGGGAAGTACAGAAATACTTTCTGTAAGTCTATTTAGTGGGCAATTCCGTACATACATGCCCCAGGTCATGGATTTTTTTTTCCTGAGGCACAAAAACCTTGATCATAGTAACTACAAGGTGGGATTTTTTTTAAGCTCGTGGACTCCAGTCTAGGAGCTTTGCTTTGTTTTTAATAAGAAAAGCAGCAGCAGACGTTTTAGTGATTCATTGCTGGGAAGTCCCCCATGCACTAGTTCAGAGGTGGGACATGTCATTTGTACATTGGTGGACCATGCTGTCTCCAGCCACTGCACCAACTCGAAGGACAGAGACTGAAGATTTAAATCCAATAATTTTAAGGCACCTTATGTGAGAGAGAAAGTGTAACTGTGTGGCCTGCTGAAGAGGGGGAGGGGATCTTGTCTCTGACCTCTGCCTCTTGAATTATTTGGGTGCTTTACATTAAAAACAGCTAAAACTGGCAGCTCACGTAGCCATAGGAAGAACAAGAAACTGTTCCTGGCAATATATATTATTTGTATAATGAATATTCCTTTTAGAGAGTCTCCTCACACATCTGTTTTAGGTGGGAAGATAGTTGTTACTTGGTAGCAGAAGCAGACATTCAAAAATACGCTGCAAGAAGCTCTTCCTGCTGAGCCCAACGGCACACCAGAATGATAACACCACCAGTAAGCACACTTCTCACCAGGCTGGTACTGCCTAAATTTTCATCTAATCCTTGTATTATCCCTTAGAGAGACAGTGATTCTCCTCTCTACCATCCCAGGTTAGTTTTGAATATGGCAAAACTCTGCCCCTCTGGAAAGATCAGCAGCAGGCGTCAGCTAGACAAGCACTATAACCTGAAAATTTTCTTGCAAAGTATACTGTTCTCAGGGAATTTCTGCACACAAGATGCATTGGTATTTTCAGCTACTTATGGAGGTACCCACAAGCCATGCTTTATGTGCAAACTATGAACTAAAACAAGAATGTGACTTACAGTTCTGGTGACTCTTGGTCATACTCTCCGAGTCCAAGGCATGGTAGAACTCGTATGCCGAACGGCCCAGCAGCTCCTCTGGGTGGTATCCAATCAGCTCTGTTATTCTTGGTTAAGAAAAAGCCCAAATATTTTAAATTCAGGTTGCCTGAGCCTTATGCTTACATGTGCTATCAGGTCTAGTCCTTAGACTAACAGAATTAAAACCACAATATGAGAAATTCTGAACTTCTGAACACATTAGGAGCTGCAGAGGACTTCTGATCATGTTCTGAAATACTTCCATGCTCAGAATAAGCCGCCTTTTACTACTACTGGAATAAAAATTCCTAGGGATGTTGTTACATGTGTTGCACATTTCCCAGGCCTACTGCACAGTACCTTTTACAGAAGGTCTCAACTGGAAAACCACTGCTGAGAAAGCTCTCAAGCTGTCCACTGCATGCAGAAACTCCCAACTACCCTAACTCAAAATCAAACCATGTGAGGGGGACAGTGGTTGGCACCATAAGGGTTAAAAGTATGTGTACATACTTTTAAAATAACATACATAAAAGGGTTAAATCACTACTTTGGACATTGCATTTAATAAAATAAAAATGCAAGGTAAGAATTTAATGGCAGTTAAAAGAAAAAAAAAATCATCTTTTCTACTCAGTGTTTCTCAATAATAAGAGAACTTTAGCATGTGGATTAGGTTACTTGGGTGACTAATCCACAAACTAAGTAGGATTTTACACAAAGAAAGCTATGATCTCAAAACCCAGACTTTTTTCAGAGCCTTTCTGAGTACTCGGGCAAGGCAGGATTTCTCACAAGTCCCTGAACAAATGAAAATAGGTCATCAAACTGCAGATGATTTTCTCTAATGAGGGGGTGGAGGAAAAGCGTTCTTTTTACCTAAATTCAATTTGAAATCCCATCACACATAACTTTACAGGAAACATGGTTAGTTAAAAAAAATAATTCAACAGCAAAGATACCACATCTTCTGGGAAAATAAGGAAGCATTAGTGTTTTCCAAGCCAACAGCACTCTTGGATGCCTTTTCCTAGCTTTAAACTGCAATAGCAACCTGTGATGTGGCAGAGAGCAATAGCAGAAATGGCTACAGACCAACTGCTAAGCTGTCACACGCCTTGGAAAGCCAGGAGGTTTGCGAGGAACAGTGGTGTCTTGCAGCAGTCACTGCCATCACTGGCAGTGCCCAAATTTTATGCCTCGTATGCCCTTGGAAAGGCTTTATCTGCCACCACCACATCTGATGAGTTAAGAGAGACAGCCTCCAGTCTGTGTACTGCCTGAAAGGACGGCCCTGGCCCAGCCCTCCAGACACCCACAAGTCTTTACAGGACAGACATGCAGATACTCTAAAGCAAACAGAGCCAGAGTGTGGCATTCAGCTCCTGGCTCCCTCTCCAGCAAGGAAGACACAGAAGATGGAGATACTCAGTGTATGGTTTTAATGCCAAGGCTCTGAGTCAGTTTTTCCCTTGCCTCCACACAGGATAGTAGCTCCTACCCTCGGGACACCTTGGTTTTGTCACTGAAAACTGTCCTGATTCCCATGGGATGAACCTGTGTTTATAATGGTTTGGTTGAGCAAAGACCATAGTTGGTTTTATTTACTTATTTATTTACTTACTCTTCTCTTTATGTTTACAGTTTTATTTGTGCTTACAGTTCAACCGACAAAGGGGAAATTGGTGAATCAGGTTTCCAAAAGAGTTGCTTTTTTTGGCTCTTCAACTGACAAGACTCTGAGCTTTTAAACTGCACCCCACTCAAATCTGCAGCTTTTCTCTGGAAATCACAATTGCTTTTTCATTTTTAAGAAAAGCTGAAGTTCCCATAATGAGTTGGTCATCAGAACTGAGCCATCAGGAGAAAAGAACCAATACAGAAGGAGCCCTAGTAAAAATCAGGCTCCCAAAATACAGTTGCTGCTTGACTTTATGCAGTCAGCTGGGACACACTGGTGTCAGTGGCCAGAGGCTTTTTCCAGGACCAGTGTAAATATACAGGCTTTAAAAACAGAAACTGTGGCCTCTGGTTATGTAATGGCATAGCACCATAAAACCATCCCGGTTAGTTTGGAGCTCATCACAACGGGAAGGCTTTGAAAATTCGGGAAGTTGAGGATTTAACTCGGTCACTGGGAGCTGAGAGCCAAATGGGGGCTGAGCGGAAAGAAGGAAAAAAGGAAATAAAGATGAGAAAAAAATGAAGCATCATGTACCTAGCAGCACTGAGGCAAATCCAAATCACATTACAGCCTTCATGGGTATCAACAGTGGAAGTGAAATAGCAAGCAAAAACCATGCATTACTCTTAACTTTTATCAGATAGGAATTGCAGTCTCTATGCCAAATTGTCTATTCCCATCCCTCTCAAATTGCTCCTCACTGATCAGTTCATAACGAGAGCCATCACTATAAAATTACTCTTCTTGTCATTCCATGCCACAGAACAACTTGTGGAGTGCTGCTGTCACAATGTCAAATTTAATTTGATCTAATTTAATATAATCTTGGGTGAAAGTTAGCAAGTGGTGGGTTGATATCTTTTTATTACACCCAACTAAAAAGTGTACAGAAAGATAAAAATAAGATACCAAAGAATTGCCCACAACCCCACAAGACTGGCCAAATTCTAAACCCACGCCTGGTAACTGGAATATTAATCAAGACTAATTGTTTGAAATAGTTGCTTTTTTAAAAAAAATATATATATATGGCTAAACAGCTTCTATGCTCTTGTTAACTGATCTGTTAATCTGTTACCACTATTCAGATTCATTACATTTTTCTTTGAACACTCCTGGGACTGAACTTATTCTTTTGTTAATTATAGAATGTTTCTTTCTCCCACCCCAGAAAACTCTAAAACTGGCTGACAATGTTTCCCAGATACATTTTTAAATACCACTATTTTATAAGAAACACCCTCTCTCCAGAAATTGTTAGCAGTATCGGTTTTGGGTGCATGAACTGGCAGATCACACCCTCCTTTATTCCTCCTCTGGTGCTGCTGACTCTGAAAAGCTTAAAAAAATAAAAAATAATAATTTTTAAAAAGCTGTTGAGAGCCCAACAGCACCTGGGCCAGGAGGTGGCGAGTACTTCAGCACTGACCTCACCTGAGCATCGCTTTGAGGTTCACCAGTGAGGCGCACCCTCCAAACCCTGCGTGCTTTCCACAGGAGCCTCTTAGCAATGCTAAATGCCAAGTGAATACACAGAGGAAAAAGCATCCTACGGAGCTATGGGGAGGAGGAGTAGTACAGAACTAAGACAGTCACAGAAATGTCTATGCCCCGTGGGACCAAAGGGTCATTTACAAAACCCAAGTCCAGAACACAAGACTTCTACTTTTGCTTAGACCCCAGACAGAAAACTGCTTTTTGTGTGAGCTGTGGAATGACAAAATTGGAAAACAAACTGTGCAGTGGTTTGGGGTGGCATCCCTGCCATGGCAGGCTTTGTTTCCTCTGCATTTGTGAAAGCTAAATTGGTGCCAATTAGGAGAACAATCATTTTTGTTGAAGAAGACAGGTGGTCTGAGGGGCTGTTTACTCTCCGGGTAACTGCTCATTTCTGAAAACTCAAATACCTTTGGGGAATCTCAATTTTGCCAGATTGATACTTCAGTTTTCTGAACTAAACTTGTCACCGTGATGTACTGAGGTCAAAATCTCAGAAAACACAGTGGAGAGGTGGGCAGTAGCTTCCGCAGCAGGCAATCTGTCCCAGCTACCACTGCTGAAGTGCTTTTTGAGCACTACTTCAGTTTCTCTCGACATACCCGTTTCTTGGGATGCGGAGTAAAGGCGAAGTTTTGTGTTTAGGGTACACAATGGAGAAACAAGTGATCTGAATTCTATTTCTAGATCTGTACGACTTTGCCCTACTTTATCTCTTTGAGACACGCAAAGCAAACAAAGCTCATTGCTTCAAATGCTACAAGGTCAGCTATTTCAAATGTTTTGGCTTTTCTTAAAATTGTGCTTTTCTGCCTCTTTAGAGGAGCACAAAGCTTTTTATTGTATACCATTTCTCGAGTTAAAATAGTATAGTAAGGGCCATCAAGACTGAGAAGTCAGGCTCTTTGTGAAAGACTGCTGTGATGTTTACTGCTCATAAAAAAATAGCTGGGTGTATATTCGTCGACCGTGTGTGGACTGTATGCACCAGGGTGTGGATCTCTTAACAAAGTCTTTCTGTATTCAAACTGTTACCAAGTTATTGAAGTTAAACTGGTCTTGACGGGAACAAACAAAGTTATACTTAAAGCAGAATGAGTTAAAAAAGAGAGAAAAAATAAATAAAGCCCAACACGGTGACTGTGCCTGGGGTAAAGCACTCTGCCAGCCTGCTGGAGCAGGTGACAGGACAGCCTGGCAGTCCTGCCAAGTTCCCACATTTCTTCTCAAAAATATTCATGGCTTCTTCTACTCTAACCCAGGCCAATATAAAAAATAAAAAGCAAACTGCTGGGACCCCTGCCCACTCCTCAGAGGTACGGCTGGCCTGGCCAGGTGCATCTGCTCTGCTACACAAACAACTAGATGGCTAAATGAAGAACTTCACCAGGACTCCATCTCTCCTACTCGCTTGGTCTACCTCAGTCAAAGTTTCGTTATTAACAAAAGAAATTGGTCATAATTTTTTCTTAAATACAACATAGACCAAAAGCCAGTTTTGCCAAACGCAGATCTTTGGCTTCAGATGTCCTCACTTCACTGCTGTCTCCATGCTGCATTTTGCCCCTCAGCAGGGATGGAGGGACAGGACGTCCTTTCAAATGCTCATTTGCATTCTCACTTAACTTAAAAATATTCCTCAAATATAGGTCAAATGGCAAACTGACTTAATTCCTCATATAAGGTCCTGTGCCAGCGTATTTCTGTTTTGCAGGGACATAACTGGAAGCACGACACAACTCGGTTTCCTCTCAGTCGGGCACAGCCTGGATCCCACATGTACACTCGTATTAGCAGGAACCTAACAGAGACCAACACTATTGGCACTTCATCTTCCTGTATCATCCTATTCTGAATCACCATACATCCTCCATCACTCCTTTGTTGAGAAAAAGCAAAACCAGTGTATAACTAATTTGGTTTTTTGTTAACCAGTAACATGCAATTCCCAAACCAAGCCACGCCTTCCAAGTAATGGAGAGCACACGCTTTCCAGTGTGCCAGTGCCAGGCAACTGGTTTGGGATGCAGCCTCTGGAGTTGGGGCCTGCACATCTCACCCCGTGCAGAATAGATGTGTTTCCTCATCCTTGGGCCCCCTTGCACATGTTACCCACAGCAATCACAGACAAAGAGCGCTTCCTCCCCTCTCCCCTCCCCAGCACCCCAGAGAGGTTGCAGGGATGAAGGGGAAAAGCCAACACCACCTACAACGCCATGCTACCCTCCCTGATTTCAAAACCCTCATCCCCTCCAAAACACAGCCTGTTATTTTCCTTTGTTGGTCATAAGCCATAAAGGCTGAGACTGTGTGTGCTAGGGCACCTGAAGCAGTTTTGGGGTTTTCCATCAAATTCCGATACAGTTCTCACTTTTGTTTTGTGGACTTTTCCACCACCACTATTTCTACCCATCACCTGCTCCCCTGGCCCTGCACAGGAAGATACACCGAGCATCAGCTATGCCAACAAGGTAATAAAATTGCCTTTGTACAAAGACTTGCCTTTTTCCTGACTAAAACACTCTCACTGGCGATCTTCCCTGACACAAATGCGTTGTGCAGCTGAACTAAATCCTTACTTGGATTATCGAACCGTACCACTGATCAGCATTTCCACATTACAGCTAAAATAATCCTTCCTGTAAACCACTTAGCCAAGATAAGTGGAGCAAGGGAACATTTTTAAACTGCTCTCCAGGAATGGCTGAAGCAGGCATTTAACAGAACAGCCTCTTTTTATTATTTATATCTCAGAAACCTTTATTTACAGGCTCATCACCTTGCAAAAGCTGTTTTAAGCCTACAAACATATCCCACCTAACCACTGGCAAGTCATGGGCCCACATACATAAATTATTTTTGGAAGATAAAATACACAGGCTAGTGTCTCACACATTTTAAACAAGGGATGGCCAGTCTTGCCTGCTCTGTACCACATCTGTCCTGTACCCTCCGGAGGAAAAGCCAAGACAATCAAGGCACTTCATGTCAGCCAACTAGATTTTGTTACAGTGTTAAAGCAGCCAGCCTATATTTTTTTGTGTTACAGAGAGTACAAGCTTTCCTAAGGAGATGACAGATGTGATCTTCATTTTCCACAAGGATAAATTTCAGCTTCATGTACAAGAGCAGCTCTATTTTGTACCCACTTAAGCTTCACACTGGAGGTGGATGCTTCCATTGGTAAGGTCCAGCACGGCTGCCATTCATCAAGATACCTCCTCCTCAGAAATCCTATAGTTTCTTTTGCTTCAAAAATAAGAACCTAATGCTCCCTGGAAGCAGACGTGTCCACACCAGATGATCTGCAAAGGAGATACTCAGATGGCTGCAGAGGCACGTTGCTCTCAGTGCTATCAGCTCTGAGCTGGAAAGACACAGTCTCCTATGGAGAAATGAGCTGCCTTAGCCCTGCTGCATCACTGAGAAGGGTTTAGGCATCCGACTGGCACATGCTGCTTTTCCTCCTCTGCTCTGCAGCCTGGATTTACATTCTTGGCATAAGCTGCTCCTTCAGCGCAATTTGTCTAGCAGCACCGAGTATGATAAGAACAGCTGAATGTTTTGCATTTTTATGTGTCTAGTGATGTGTCGCCTGCTGGAGAGAAATCAGCCTCCCTCTGGGAGGGAGTGAGAGCCAGGAGGATCTGCTGGGAAGAACCTGGAAGGTTCAGGAGGTCTCTTCCTTCTCTGGCCTGTCTCGCTTTTTACAGCTTTATCATAATCATCTCAATAAAACACGAATAGACATCCAGCCAAAACTATCTAGTAAAAGACATGCTGATTTGGTGCCTGGTTTTAAAGAAAAATATCTGAAACTCCCTACAAGTTAAATCTTCCCAGAGGAAGCTGTTTTATTTCAGTGCCACATGAAAAGTTTTCCCTATATTTTCTGCTATTTGAGACAGGGCATGATATGTCATTTTTAAAAAAAATAAGCTTGTGTATCTTGCATAGGATAGTACAAGTCCCCCTAATTCTCATTTATAATTGTTTATGCATTGTCTGGCAGAGACATGTGAATGCTGCAACACAGCAAAATCCTCTGTTACTCTCCTCCAACCTGACACTGAATGGCCCTGTAATTCAGAGGTACATTACTTATAATGAGCCACTACCATGGTGTTCCTTCCCTCCCCTCAGCAGAAAATCCCTATTGATATCTCAATATTTTAATCCTGAAAGCATTAACAACAACAAAAAGCTTGTTTCATTGCAGTTACATCAGAGGACATTGCTAGTTACAGCACACTTGCTGCTGAATTCTCAGAGGGGTCAGGAGAAGGTCAGTCACAAGTTTCACACTTGTAATCTTGCTTTCATCCACAGAACTAACACTGCTAGTTCAGACAGTTGTTTCATCACATTGTTTAAAATAATAATCTTGCTTAGCACAAGTTTTAAAAAACCTTCGAGGGATATAAAAAAGGCCAAGATCTCAATCCTGTGAGCTTCTGCATAAAATGCGAGCATAAGTATAACCCCACTGATAACCCCACAGACCTCAGTTATTGCTAGCATCTCTCAATTTCAGGGGACCACTTTCATTAGACAGAAAACTTCATACTAAATTTGGGGATGGCCTCATAAACTTAAAAGACCTCAAAACAAACACCAAACGCACAGCAGTACAGACAGGACTTTTGGAGAAAGCGGGAACAGAACAGTTGATGGGAAGGGATCACTGGCTCACTCACATGCAGGGAATATGGTTAGCACAACATGCAGACAGAAAGAAGAGATAGTATGAAATGCCATGGAGATCCCAGGGGAAATCAGGCAAGAGACTGAGGGAATCTCCATTTCTTCCACTCAAGAGAAGTGTGGGGAGCGCAGGGCACAGCTCCTTGCTTGACCCAAGATCTTCCCCTCCCCTTCTTCATTTTGCCACTAGAAGAGGCACATAGATAACCAGCAAAGGTTGCTTGCTCTTCATTGAGCAAGAGGCTGCAATCCTTTTGCAGAGCTGCAGATGCTCTGGATGCCTGCCTTAGCAATTCTCAGTTAATCTAGAGCATAAAGTACTTTCCAGCTAACTGCCAATAGCATCCTGGGCCAAACCAACCATAAAACAGTCCTTGCCTAAGGTCCTTAAGGCATGTCATTTGAGACATTCTCTAAAAAAAGAGAACAGAAATACTCTGTACTCTTCAGTTTGCTAAAACCCAAGAAGTTAATGGTTATGGTTCTAAGTTGTCTCATCTTTTGCCAGTGAACTTGAATTCTTCACTCAGCAAGTGTGGAAAATGGTATTTCGCCTACATTGAGATATGAGATGGATTAAGTGAGCCACTGAATAGCTGTTTTGGTAAGGGACTGTACTTTCCATCCTTGCTTACTAAGTCCACATAGGAGGACATTTGGAAAGCCTCCTTGTTTTGTTCAAGAAGACAGAAATACCCATGGAAAGGAAAAATCAGTGGAATTTACCTGTCATCACAGTAGGTAAATTTCATGTCCATGCTATGGCGACTCAGGAAGGTCTTGCTGTCCAGGGGGATGTCGATGTTGGAAGGATGCTGAATAGGCTCACACATTATTATAAGGCAAGTGAGAAGAGGCTCTTTATACCCACACAGAGTGTGAGGAGGGCAAGTGTTATACACTTTAACTTGTCCAGTGCAGTGCAAAACCTGAAATAATGATTTTTTTGAATGAGAAATAAACTTAGAATGTACTTTCTATACATGCCAAAATGTCTTTTTACATCAAAAACACTTATTACAGCTAAAATACGGTACCTTCCACGTGGCAGACTTGAGGTTGACAGTTCTGCCTCTGTTGGTAACAGTGCACTTCATCCTCATGAAGAAGTCGCGCTCGGTTGACATCTCTTTGCTTTTCTTTCCAAAGCCTAGACAAGTATAAGGAAAATGGCAAATGAATTTTATCAGTTTTGCTTCTTGATTTCTTCTATTCGTAAGCATGAAGGATTCAATAGAAATAACAGACTAATTCTCAGATAATTTACCTGCAGAGACCATCAAAGATGCATGGACCATTGAAGAGCAGTTTGAAGAGCTCAGACCTAAAACTTTAAGTGGAACTTAAATGGGACTTTGTGCATTTAAACCTATGTTTTAGCTTGCAGCACATAAATCTTTGCAACATGTTACAAGTGAAAACATTACGCCTGTCTTAACTTGATGAAAGGAAACACTAAACAAACAGTTCTTAGTGCTATCATATGTAAGCAAGATTTGGCTAAACAAAACAAATCTGCAAAGCATTGTGTAACAGTTTAATGATCACTGTAGGATTGAAAATTCCCTTTACTGTGATTAAAAGATCTCTACTGTCAGCCAATTACTTCATTTGGTTATTTTAAAGGCAAATAGTCACTCCTGTTTTCATTATTACCATTTTTCAGACTCAGGTTCTCTCTAATTTCTTCATGGTCACACGGATGAGTGAAGTCAAAAATGCTGTGTCCAGTTAATTCCACCTGTGCAGAAGTAAGAACTATATTTAGCCAAATAAAAGCAATGAATAATATTTGCCTGATTTTAAATACCACCTATCCAGATGAAACTGGTCACTAGAACCAAGTGCATCCACAGGACGCTCACAGACACAAATCCTGTGGCCCTCCCTTTGTTTATCCTATGCATTAACTTCCCATTTTCTTCCCTATCTTTGGATTAGCACACTGCAGGTAACAGTCAACACCACTGGTTATTTTCAACACAGGAGAAAGTCCCCAGTCCACAGAGCAGAAAAGGGGGGGGACTCAAAGGAGCAGCTCTATTCCCCCTGTCCCATAGTCTAAGGCATAAGTCAAAAAAACGCCCATTCTCCTCACTGCAGTAACATCTAGGAAGGCAGGACTGCAGTCACCAAAGACACTACAACTCTGATCTAACGGGAGAGGGAAAAACCGCCACTGCTGTTTGATGTGCTGTGCACCTGCCTGAGAAACAGGACATTTTCTTTCCAGTCCTTTCTGCAGTGATGCGCAGCTGTTTTTCTGCATTTAGGCATAGGACTCATTTCTAGGAATTGTATTTCAAAGAGAGGAAAGGGTTAGGGAACAAATTACCTGGGTAAGACCCATGTATTTGTTGACATTCTCTGACAAAAAGATCATGTCTCCATCCTGTGTCACCACGGCAATAAATCCCTCCAAAGCTTTCAGGTACAGGTTGTCCATCTGCTGGTCTGCCTCTAGTTCGTTCTCGTTGTCAGCACATACTGAGAAAAAAAAAGAAAAAAAGCCTCTGAAGTCTTCAGCACCCTGGCCAGCCTTTTTCAATGCAAACACATCCACTTAACAAGGCAACACAATATTTTTCTGCTGCCACAATTTCCTTTCCACAAACCCCTTCCTTGAGAAGAAAGCACTCTGCACAGGCATGTCCTTATCACTAGAAAGATATTATTCTAAATCTTTTGGCAAATGCAACACAACCTCTACCCACCTTTAGCATGTTTCTGCAAGAGGTGTTTTTTCAGTGCATAACACCTATACACCCAGACACTGAAATGTGCACATTCTTTTGGCCACATGCAAGCTTTCCATCTCCTAACAGGCATGAACTATAGGGCAAATCTCACAGAAGGTAAGTAAAGGTAAAGCACTCTTGCCTTCCTTTCTACACTTTTAAGCATGTTTCAGCTTCATGAATAAGAGGCCTGCAGATGCAGATGAACCAGTATTGAAAAATTTCTGTGTGGGAGTTGGCCCACTGATTTCTTGACATGTTTTATGAGAAACGTCTGGGGTTATTTTTTTACAAAACTATTTACAGATACTGCATCTGGTCTGCGTACCTCAGACATGCTGTGGGGCGAGCTTATCTTTAGTTCTGTCAGGTCGCCTGCACATTTGCGATCAGTCGTTGCAAATATGTAGTGGTAAGGCTCTGAATTCGGGGAGGAAAAGCAAACAAACAAGCAAAAAAACCCCCAACCCAGCCTCAAAATAAAGAATAACCAACTCCAGTCATACACTGCTGAAGGTACAAGGCCATGGGTAAGTCTCATCGAGATTGCGGAGCTGCAGTGATGCTGCTCCCTGTGCCCCTCCCTGATAGCACAAGAGTGCTCCAGACTGGGGCCACCACTGATTTTGATGCCCAGAGGCTCCAGCCATAGCAGCATCAGCCTTAATCACAAGAGCAGTGGGACTCTAATGAGTTTTTGGGAGAAGCTGCTCTTATTTGTTGGTCCCTCTCTGGGGATGGCCAACACAGGCTGCGGATTTGTCACCTTGTGTCCCTGCCCTGCAATTCCAGCTACTCACTCAGGGGCCAGTTCCTCCTCAGCACAAAGCAACTGACTCCAGGAAATTACATCAGGGCTAGCATTTAAAATACAGAAAATACACAATAATATATTTGAATAGTATGCACTTTGGCCATAATGACATTTAGGGAAGGGGGAAAGAAAAAAAAGGTAAGTGACCATCTGCTCCCAAGCTTGTTTCTGCTGTGTAAAGAATGTCAAGGGTCTTTTTTTACTTTTCCGGAAGCAAACAAATGGTTTATTCAGCAGGGATCATGGCTATAGCCCAAGACAATCAGCCAAGTGTGGGTTCAGAGAAAAAAATGACTTTTCAGCTCTAACCCCAGACCCTCCTTTCCATTTTTTTCCCCAGCTCATTAAGTTTGCATTAACAAAACACGACCATTCAAAGGCAGGAAGGCTATTCAAAGCATTTGTGTTCTTAAATGCCTCCAACAGTGAAAGACAAACACTTTACTTGTATTATCAGATGATTAAGTTTGCTTTTCCGCGTATATAAATTATATTACTTATACAAACACACACAGAGAGGACATAGGATCATTCACATCAGGCCTGCAGGTTCAAACCTTAATGTCCTAGCTGAGCACAGCACTTAAAAGATACAGCCAGCTTTAGAGTTCATGGTTACAGGGTTTTGTGGGATCTGAGTTCAATTTTCTTTATTAAAATTACCTTTGCCCAGCTGGAGGCATCTGTGATGTGGACTGGGAGGAAAGGGTTTGTGCTGCTGTGCACCCCGTCTCACATAACCCAAAAGCATGACCAAGGTGTTTTGCAAACACTCTCCAGCTTCCCCAATACCTCAACACACCCCAGTGCACCCCTTGCTTCCCCCTCAGCAGCCCCGGGCACAGTGGGCAAGGGAGCCGGGCAGATTCAGGTTTCTTGCAGTACTTAACAGGGCATCCTCATGCTTCAAAGATGGAGTGAGGAAGTTGAGGGCATCAAGAGGAAGGTGACAAATACCTCCAGGGGCCCCTGTGCTGCTGATGCCACCTCTTCCTTGCCTGTCCCCCGTGGGCATCCCTGCTGCCTGCCCAGGGAAGTCTGGGCACCGGGGGTGCACCAAAGGTGGACACATCTTCTCGTGTGTCCAGAACGTAATATAATTATAGTAATAGAAATAATAAATAACAGTCCCTCATATGGCTGCAGTTACGGCATTCTAGCCTGCTTCTGTTCTCTAGCTACTGCTACCCAGAGGATATACACACATTAGGAGACCAATACATCAGAAGAAATTCAGTCATTGTCACGAGCAAAAATCCAGTTTGCTTTGGAAATAATCTGTTTTGCAGAAGAAAAACAAATAAAACCATCGCTACTGCACGCTGCTCTCAGAAATCCCTACTGTCTTGCACTTTAGCATAAGAAATTTCAGCTTCAGAGGGAAAACATTTGACAAAGCATAGAACAAATTAAAGTAGGAGGTTAACATGAAAAAGCTGCTTTCCAGTAGTTGAGGTCACTTTATGCAGGTAGCAGCACCTCATGTAGGCTTGCCAGCATTTTCCAAGTCTTAAAGAAAGGTAATCACGGACTCAGTTTACCCTGATTTTAATTTAGAGATTTTGTAAGCAACGCTGTTTTTCAATACAGCTGCTAACGAAATTTTGAAATAAGGATGCACTTCTTTTTTTTTTGTTCCCTGCAACTTTTTCCATCTCTGCTAATGGGAGTAACTCAGTTGAGGCACCGTGACAGCATAACCGGGCGACTGGCCTGCAGACATGCCAGTTTAACTATAAATTAATAGCACATTCAGCAGAATGAAGTCCCGTAATATCATTGTTCATATTATAGCTACTTTTATGGACCCAAGCCAAGATTGTGCTCATGTAGCACTGGGAAGCCCCCATAGGGGGGAGAATCCCCGTGTAGCTGAGACCACAAGATCCTGAAAGATGTCAGAGAACCACCAAAAGTGCCGTGGCCTCGCTGGGGCGACTGTCAGAGCTACAGGAGAACCAGGAGCAGAGCAACCACATCCCACTTTGATGGGTCATCCACCGCTCATACTGCCCCACGGCAGGATTTCTTGGTCTGCATCAAATTTTGAGACAGTACTTTTCAGTCCGTGTCTCCGTCATCATCAAATTTTGATAAATGTTGTTTAATCAGTTCTATTCTGAAAATATTTCCGACCACTAAAGTAGAATTTACTCATCAACGAGAAACTTTGAACTGTAATGGCAAATGCTTATTGCCGTGTTTATGATAACCTTTTATGCTAAAAATAGCTCTTGTAAACAAGCTTTGATTAATTCCCACTGTCAGGATGTGCACTGTTCCCAAGTTTAAGAACACTTTTTCCGTAGAAGCTTGCTCATTTCCTTCAGTCCAACCTCTTGGAACGAGTCTGAAGGTTCAAAACTCAGGCTCTCCCTACAAGAAATAACTGCTCAGGTATAAACAGCTCCTAGCAAACAGCCTCTGCTCCTCTCAGCACCTTTGATCTGACTCAAAGGGGCCTTTTTGGTCAGTCCAGAGGTAGAGCGTGATAAAGAGGATCTTTACTGGAGGTCACATCACACCACCTCCACAGAATTTGCATGGCTTTGTCTCTAATCCTGGATCCTATAAGTACCAGAAAGTTGCTTGGGTTTTGTGCACAACAGACACCAGGCTCCAGGGCTGTAAGAACTCCCGACTCCAGCAGGCAGAATTTGGGGAAGATCTAACAGCAGCCCCATCCTGCAGCGGGGAGCAGCTTTGAGACAGACTCGTCTCTTCCTGGTTTCTTGTTTTGCATCAAAGGAAAGCGACTTTTTTTTTTCCTTTTTCTTTTTTTCTGTCTTGACAGGGCAGTACATCCTGTTCAAGGGGATATTTTCAATGTGTTCAGTAAAGGCTTTCCATTTAGATACATCAAGAGAAAGCTACTCTTAAACTTGAAGCTTCCTGAAGGGCTCTTATCTCCAAGTGCACAAGTGACTTTGATAAAGTAAACCCTTATGCTAGTGTTGTTATGACTGCAGGGTTTCTATCTAAACAAATTATTCAGATGCTGCTCCCAGGAAGCTGCTCTGAGTCCTGCAGCCGTCGGTGTTGAACAGTGGGATGCAGGACCCCATCCTGATTGGGCTTCCCGAGCACCACTGGACTTTCTGGTGCACCTTCCCAGAAAAGTGGCATTGCTTCAGGCAGCTGAGGCACTCAGCACCCGGCTGCGCTCTCATTCCTAGCAGCATGGTTGGCACAAAGCTATTTTTCCAATTTAATAAAAGCAAACAAGTAGACGTGCTATTTTTAAAGCACTGTTTTATGCCACAATAGTCTGAGATTAGATGTGGCTTGTCCAGACATGCAAAAACAATGCCCACATCACCTCTCCCTACGGTTTGTCCTCTCCCTTGAAAGCCCAGAGAAAAAGCTATTTTTTCCCTTCTGCTCCCCGCTGGCTTTCCGGCTCTGTTGTCTCCCTCCCTTGAAACAACTTCACACTGGCTTCCTCGTGGCCTCCCTTCTCCCAGACCAACTTCCCGTCTGCTTCCCTGTTCCCTCCCCATCGCTGCTGCTGTCTGCCTGCACAGGAGCAACTCCCAGCCGGTTTCCTTTGCTGGAGCTCTGCACAGAAAAAGACACCCGGGCAGCCACGCAACTGGGATGGGATTAGAGAATGCCGATAAAATTGTGTTTGCCTGATCAGCCTGACTAAGAAGTCTGCAGTCCTGGCACACAGAAACTCACCGGAACCAAAAAGTTCTGGTTCCTATAATGTCTTGAGCATCAGTGTGGTCCAAATAAACACTTGAAATTATTGGCATGGCACATTAGTGCCTATGCAGGCTTCCTAAAGTGGATCCTCTTCCTCATATTCAGACAAAAGGAGACCATCTGAGGCAGCCTTAGCAACTATCATGATATTAGCTGTTAACTAAGATGGCCATTCCTTATTAAAAGATAGTTATTTCTCTTTTGCCATCCATTAACCCCCAAAAACCCACTAGGCTAGTTTGCTAGCTGCACCAGAGAATAACAGGGGAGAAGCACTGCTATCAATTTTTCTGGCTATGCTAAAGGACGTAAGATCCCAAATCTAAAAGCTCCACTATCGATAAGCATCAAACTGTCTATTTTCAGCAGCAACTCCATGGGATCAAAACCTTTACTTGAAAAGAACAAAGATCAGCTCTAAATTTACCCTAAACATTTGAATGTGACGATGGCAAAAATGTATTATGCCAACAGAATTAAGAGACATCTTGAAAAATATTCAAGATTATTATAACTAAATTATATTTCTACTTAGCATTCCAATTATACCGTGTACTGTTCTGTGCACAACATGGAAACAGTATTATAAAGCTATTGTTTCAGTTTGCTTCCTGTGATGCTAATCTCAATCAGGCTGTCAGACGAACAGCCTGCATTTCTAAATGTTAAAGGCTTCCTCTCCAACATTCCCACACAGAATTGCCTACTGTGAAAATCAAAGGGAAACGTGTTACTAAGTAAAGCAGCAACTTTTATAAAGCAAAACCTGGTATTTTTTACCCTTTTGAACTCTGAGATATACAACCAGCTATTTCCTATTATGATAGGATACAAGGGCCAAGCTCAGGCCCCGCAAGGCCTGCAGGAGACGTGCTCCTTGCAATCCAGAAGCTGGGATTTTTGGAGGCACGTAGCAGGAGAGCTCTCAACGAAGGCTCAGATTTGTAGGCTCTGCCATTCACTTGCTGGAAGAATGTGGGCATAGATTTCCCTAGGTCTTGGCTTCCCGACAGATAGATGATCATTATGCAGACACAGCTAGTAAAACAGCCTGGGTTACACAAGAAAAAAGCTCTAATCCAAGTCAGGGAATAATAGGAAGGGGCATGGGACACTCAATGCCAGCGGACTGGGGCTGGCAACCTGACTACAGCCATCTCTGCAACCCCCTCTGCAGCATCGGCTCGCAGAAAGGAGGATGCAGTCCTGAGCGGGCCCTTGCTCCCGCTGCTCCCAGCAACACTGCCATGAAACGGAGAGATGTGTTCCCATTCAAGAATCGTGCCCACAAGCAGTAATACCAAATAAAATCCAGTGTACCAGTAGTTTTTGATAGAACAAACATAAAAATGCTAAATCAAGCAGTATTTTTTCTTTACTACCTTTTGAAGTATTTTAAGCTGCACTGCAAGCTTATTTTAGTGACATTGTGTGTATATATATATATATATATATAAATGCAGTAAATGTTATTTTAATGTCCTAATTAATGACAGAACAAATACTCCCTCTTAACTTCAGTTTACACTGAGTGTCTAGCCCAAATAATCACAACTGTTTCCACGAAGCAAAGGTGGGGGGGTCTGTGGGCTGGGGCAGGCATTTGCTTCTCATGCACACCACAGTCCTCCACAACCCCGTTTCCCCGTTCACCTGCCAGAAATGACACAGAAACCCTCATGCTCCCCATCAGCATCAGGCTCCTCAAATGCAACGCAGAATTAATGGCTGAATTCCAGTCTGCTGCACATGTGCATGAAACGGGAGCAGCTTTCCTTGGGGCTCAAAAAGGGTTTAGAGCAAAAGTGGGAACGGGTCGCGGGTGGGCATTGCACAAGCCCAGCGTCCATTTGCTCCACGCTCTTGTCAAAATCTGATGAGCAGCAAATTTCTTCATCTGAAAGCCAAAAGCTGCACCAAAAACCTATCGCTTTGAATTAAATCATATGGCCTTCCAGTGTGAGTCAGTGTCCTTATGAAGACTGACATCATTCAGAAACTCACCATCAAAGACTTAAATTCAGCTTTTACAGGAACAGATCAGAAAAACAGCACCTGACAAATGTTAGCTGTATTAAGCAGTTATTGTACAGAGATGGTGATAATCAGCCCTGAAAGGCTGTATGTATTTTTTCAACCGGGTTCACCTGCCAGAAATGCCTATATTCAATTTTACAGTCTTGTCTCCTCAGAGCGAGAAACAGTTCTCAACTTGATTTACTGAGATTTACTTTGGCCAGAGCGGTACTCGACACCTGTGAATCTCAGGAGCCTCAGCAACTGCAAACTGTTGGGCAACTGCATGAGGAAGAAATAATACTCTGAAGCCATTATTCTGATAATGATAATCAAAGTTCTCTCTCTGATGCCACTTTATTCCAATGCCTGATAAATTTTATCTTTCAGATACTCAGGGCTTAAGTATTCAGCCTTCTTGTTTAGCTTGGCTGATTTAAATGTTAGCTATCCTCAGAAGAATGTAAGTAGCAGATGAGGCCTTTACAAGCAAACAGTGGTTTTCTGGCTTGAGTTCTTTCATTTCAATGTATTCCCATTGTCAGGAAATAGTACTCAGCTCTTCCAGAAAATCAGTCCCTTTAAAGTACCTTGAGCTCAATTCCCCAGAACAGAAGCACTAGAGATTTAAAAACCTTTACCTACATCTCTAATGTCTAAAGATGCAGCGATTAACAAATCTGCATCTGATTAACAACACAAATTTTAATGAGAGGACTTAATCCAAGTCAATATTTAGGCTGGGGAAGTGTATCAGATTTAAGGCTAAGTAAATAACTAACACAGAGAAAGCCCGAAATATTAAATCACAGCTTGTCACTACTGTAATGTTTCATTTGCAGATTTCTTCCTAACTGCTGGGTCCTGGTGGCACTTCAAGAAAACACAAATCAGCTACATGAACCACATTGTTCTTCAAGTGCTGTCACAGAAAAATCATATATCTATGTGTATGGATGAATAGTATATACATATATTGAGTTGTCATCACTATCAAATTATATGAGCCTAAGCCTTAACACTAAAGCAGCACTAAATAAATGTTTTACCTGTAGATTTTCTCCTCACCAAGAAATGCACATGCATTTGAAAATTTCACTTTAAACCCAGCAGTTTGCAGGTAAGCAAACATATTCTTCTGATGATGACAGCATCAAACTATTTCATGTCGTGTTTCACAGACACACGCATTACTGTGATTAACTGTTACAGCCCTTCAGAAGTTTGCTTTTCCTACGCTGTGCCAGTCTCCAGTTCATGCCGTATAAATATTTGAAAAGCTGAAACTGTGTTTTTATGAGAAAGTTACTAACAAATCGGCTTGGTGTATGGCATGTTCAAGAACATTTACCTACTTATGCAACTTCTTCAAGTATTAATTACATGATAAAATCAGAGATGATTTGTAAACACTGTTCAGCAAATAAACTTTTCTTTTCACAGAAGTAAACGTTAAAACCACATTGTATAAGCTTAACGTGAAAATACCCACATTTTATACGATAGCCTTAACTACAAAAATTACAAAGCACACAGGATCTGAATTTAATTTGTCATATTCTTCAGACTAGCCAACAACAAATTAACAGCATGCTTTTCCACAAAATGAGGTACTTCCTAATAACATTTATTAAAGTAACTGTTATGGAATGACTCAACTTTTCTAAACAAAGGAAGTATAATCATGATCTTATAGGGAGTTTTGCATTAATGAACGTCAAGATGAAACTTTGGGTTTGCCTTTCACAAACAACACAGGTATTGTTTTGTTAAGGCATTCTGGACACTTACAGGTCACCGTGTGAAAGTTCCCCCAGCAACATCAGTTGTTTTCATTGATCTCACAGGCTACCCAAACCACAGATTTCCATCAGAGTGATTATTCAAATACAGGTGCAAAACAAGAGCATTGTTAATTTTATCAGTTTTCGCTGCTAGTTCACATTTCCCACTACTCCAACATGAGCAAGATTCTGGTTACATAGAATCCATTCATATCAAGTATTGAAAAGTTGTTTGCTTTACTATCTTAGTCTACCTTGTCATAAGGCATCTACCTACTACTCATTACCAGTGTACACCACAATTAGTCCGTTCAGACAAAGCATTGGACCTTCAGAACTTCCCAGCTGCCTTTTGAGTGCACTGGCACAAACACACTTGTCATACTGGTGCAAGTACTGGAGCCCAGGAGGTTCAAGCTGAACATACCAAATCAAAATTTACTTGTTTCAGCACGGAAGCTTAAGATGTCTGTCTGAATTCTGATTAAACTCTTAGAAGTTTCAAATATTGTAAATGAGCTTAATAAACAACAAAAATCCCAACACATTCAAGTGTTTTGAGCGCTGATTTTTTTAGAGAGGCAAAACTGCACCAGTTGTTATTTTGATAATGAAGACCTTATATGGCTAATATTACTCAGACATTCAGAATGTTCCATCCCAATTAAAACATACATAATTCTGATGAAAAAAAAACCACCCACCAACTAAACTTTAAATCTAGTTGCACTGTCACAACACAGGCAGTTGTGTCCTGTTCTCACTTTAGGACCTAGTACCTGGAGAAAAACATGCAAAATCTAACCAAGCTGCTATGAACTAGCACCAACAGCTTCTTTTAGCCGGATCTTACCTGAAGACAGCAGCTTGTGAGTGCGTAGGAAACTGATTGCCAGGCGCATGATGGAGGCCTTGTCCAGGTGGGAACTGATGTTGTGGGGCAGGGGCAGCTCATGTGCCAGTTCGTAGAAAACTTCGGTTTCTTTGCTTCTCCTGCATCTCGCTGCATCTCTTGATTTCTCCTTCCTCCTCTCTGAACTGCTCCTGGGAGGGAAAGGAGAGAAAGGAAAAAGCATTTCTTGAAATGCAGTTCACAGCTTGAGAGAGGCACTTACAAGAGTTAATCTTGTCAGCAATGAATCTATTCTGCCAACTGGTATAAATCAATTGACCAGATATTCATGCCTATTTGCTCCTTTTAAAATGGGAATTAGGAGAGGACTGCCACAACTGAAAAGGGCTCCAGTTCTACAGAAGTCAGCCTTTGGACCCCCTGAAGCCCCATAAAGTGCAACAGTGTCAAGATCTGCCATAGGTGAGAGATTCAAAATGAAATAGCAAACTACTGTTTTTGGGATTCAGGAAATGTAAAGAAAAAAAATTTTTGTTTGTTCAATCTAAATTAATTTACCTGAAAAATACTCTGGGATGAGGTGACCATCCATTTTTAAGTTGGAACAACTACAGCGCATGTGGCTGCGTCGCAGATGTAATGACTTGCAAAGGCTGTTCCCAATATTAAAATAAAAGTATTAACAGGGTATCAAACTGTGTTTGTATAGACAACTGTCTCGGCTCTTAACCCGACACTACTCTGGAAAACCACCTTTGCTTGACCATGAAGGATACAAAATGGGATATAAAATACTGCTGCATGCAAGAAACCCCTCCTTCATGGAAGCTGTTCTAATTAAATCACCGTCTCTCCATTGTCCATGAAAACAGATTCCTTCTTGAGGAAAACAGCATGACCGACAGAGCCAGCCTCCTCCGAGCTCCGCAGAGAACAGAAGAGCAGGAAATAACTAAAGGGGAAGACATTTTATGAAGCAAGTACGCAAATTTAAGTCACTGAGGGACACAAAGCTAAATTTAACATGCGAGAAACACAAGGGCTGTGTTTATAATGGATCTGGGATAGGACAGTTTAAGAGGGAACTTCACTGACTCTGAAAGTAAAATCCTATCAAACCAGGATATTTCAATAAATATATTTTCTTGTGTGACGATTATGAGGAAAACAAATATTAATGGCATCACTTAATCCTACAAACTGTTCCAATAATGGATGGACTCATATAAAACTGCAAAAAATATAAAAAGAGGATTAATACATACTAATGTATTCTGAAGAAGACAACTATTTCTAGAAGAGCTAGACTGCCTGCAAAAGCTTCTAGCATGAAAACCACAAGTGCCTTCATAAATGAGAAGGAAGGAAAAATAGCCAGGGTCCATGTTAAATACCAAGAGTAAAGTTACAGTAAGGTGTTTGCTGGCACTCAGGCAATGCTGGGCATTCAACACCACCATCCAAAGCAGAAATGTGCTCACCACGCATCAGCAGGGCCCTTGTGCTGAAAAACACGTGAAGCTGGGCATACGCTAAGGGATCAGATAGGTGCTCACCAGTGGGTGTGCTAAAAGGGCAAGAGGGCTCATAAATGCTTACAGTATCTTCTCAAGAAGATCAGCCGTAGGCAAACCTCTTTCACAGCTATTTTGCCAGAGGCGAATATTTTCTAACGTGGCATTTGTTACAGGAGGTATTCACGGGATAAGACCTACACACAAGTCAGTCCAACTTTGACAACAATTTCAGAGGCATCAATGGAGTGAACACCAACCTGCCCAAGTTTAAATCTAAAGGACCACACACTCACAAGGTGACACTACCTCCTTACTTTTATCCTTGTCAAGCAAGAGTCATTCTACATCCACATACAAAATAAGCCCTTTTGTACAGCTGTCCAAGAAGGTACAACACAAAATGCTCTGTGTCCTCCCAGGGCAGGTTCTGGGAGAAGGAGAGACATCTGAACTACTAACACTGATGCTTCTTTCAGAGCTACGTCTTGCTCTCAAAGAAAAATGTGTCTACGCCATGCCTATAAAGACGCCAGACTGGGAACAAATCTCAGTTTCTAATTCTACCAACAAAATAAAAGAGCAGAAACAAAATAAAACCAAACAGAACAAAAACTATGCGGCACTAGTTGTGAGAATTTCCAATTGCGGCTTAGAAAATTTAACTTGAACCAAAAACGTTCAAGCTCTGCTCTAAATCTAGAGCCTACAATTTTCACATTAGGACCAGCTTGGCCAAAACAAGATCCAGTCCCTCCTCGTTTAAATATGAAACTTTGGGAACCGAGGCCAAAGCCGTGTCGCAACTTGTGCAGTAAAAACGGGTTGTATAAAACAGGGTCTCTCATGACGCCACTCTGGCCACAAAGAAAAATATTTAGTTTTGCTAACCTCTGTAAATATAATTTTGAAGTGTGGCTAATGAGACAAGCTGGTTTCATTAACCACGGGTTGCTCAAGGTTTCTAATAACTAATGCTACGAGCAGAGAATTATTTTTTTTTCCTCTGTGCTGCAGATGCTTTCCCTCAACACTGCTTCTGACTGCCATGCTCCGTTTCTCTGCAGAGAGGAGCTTTCTCGCATTAGAAAACAAGGGGAGGAATCAGCCTGACTGGTTGCTTTCAAAAGACTTTCTTGCTCACCCATTATCATTTTAAATAAACACACAATTTGCTTGTTAAGCATTTCCACGTTAAACATTTCCCCTGTGGCTTCCTGCACCTCAATTTTCCTCCTCTTCTTCCCTCGCCCAGCACACCCTCACATTGCGCTGTTATTGTAGCCAGCCCAGCACAAGCATACAGAGGCCCAAAACACCCCCACATAGCTTGCCCCCCAGCAAACATCTAGCCTGGCTTGCTGTCCCTTCACGTCAAAGACTCTGTCATCCTGGGCTTACTCGTCCTGGCTACAAAAGCCTCCAAAAACTGCAGCCGAGCGGGATAATTCTGCAAAAACCTGTATTTTCCCTGTGTTTGTTTGCAGGCAGCAGGCCATTAACTCCCTCTGCAGTTGCCCCCATTAGCATTTAACCCCACGGGGGTTAGAGGCTGCTCTACCCACAGCTAGAGACTAAAAATGTCACCACTCAACAACCTGCCCAATTTGAAGGCCAGGAAGAAAGACTGACACCCTGTCCTCTTCACACATCATTAGGGCAACGGAGAAAAGGCCCAGGCTCTAGCTAATTTATGAATCATTCACTCCCAGCACATAAAACACCCACTTAAGTAGCAAAAAAAGAGCACATGTGTGCGTCACTGCTTGGAGAAAGTGACACCAGCAGTAGCAGAAACCTCACTCACCCAAAGCTGTGTCAGGTTCTTAAAAATTCAGAGGGGAGAGAGAGGTGAAAGCCACCACAAATCAACCTGTCTGTGTAAGGCCCATAGGCACTGTGGGGAAGCCTCCTGGGAGCTTGTCCTTTCAGCAGTCCCAGGATCTGTCAGGATAAGGCCCCGCCTGGGCTCTTACACACACTCACTCACGTCGCAATCGCAGCCTGAACGTTCCTGATATCATGACCAGAAAGGAAAGGTGGAGCAAAAATCTCCACTGGCAACAGGGTGACTGAGCTCAGGAACGGGCCTGGGGACTCCACTCAGGACTTGGCTTTGCCGAGAGTGTCTGGGGGGCTCAAGGAGAAGGAAAAAGAAGCCTCTGCTTCCCAGCAAGGACTCTCCTGGGGCTGCTGCCAGACGATGCTTCGGGGCTGCAGTGCTTTACGCACAAGCCATAGGGAATGGAAGAGTTAACATGGTGCAGGCAGCTCCCCACCACAGAACAGAAGTATGGCACTGTACCCCCAGGATGGCTGTTTACATGATTTCTCACTCCCTCCTGGCATGTTTAGTTTGCGCTCTGAAAATAGAATTTACGGGCTGACACATGTGAGCAAACATGACAAACAACTGGCAAGTATTTGCCCTCTCCGGTGAATTTTCAGGAGCAAAAGCTCTCCATGCTTCTCCCAAGAACCCAAACAACAAACCGGCGCTGGGGGTACACCTATGCACAGGATCAGAGCATGCGATCGCACCCGCCAGAAGCATCCGAAGGGGTGAAGAATGCCCGCACAGATCCCGGCAGCCAGATTCCTATCCCCTTGCTCATCTCTGACAGCCCCTTGCGACACAGCTTCACTGAAATCGACACAGCTTCACTGAAATCGACACAGCTTCACTGAAATCGGTGGGAATGCCTGCAGACAAAGGTCTTGCACACCTGGGATGAAGATCACAATCTGGCTTTCCGAAGTCTCTCTTATTGCAGGGCTGGAAACTCTGGGCACAGCAACTTATTGGCAAAACCTGAAGCCCCATGTAACCAATTTGGCTCAAAAAACCTTGCAAAACTCTCACATCAGCTTTGGGATTGTCTTGCCGGCACTCACTTGCTGTGATGGCTCCGGACACTAGCAGCCAGGAGAAATACTGAGGCAACCAGCCTGGGCCGGGGACTGCGCTGCTGCCCCTGCCCTGCCCAAGCACCCACAGCAGGTACCGGCGACCCAGACACAGTGGGCATCAGCCCCACAAACACTGGGGCAAACAGAGCACCCCACATGGGAACTTACATGCAGGTGCACGGCATTACTCGCTGGTCTGAAGTAGGATTAGGCACTCAACACTCCTCGGCTCAGCAGACAGGGACTGACTTGAGGTTTCGGTCCGTTTCCACTAACTGTGACTGTACTCGCTCTCTGCAGTCTCAATCCTACCAGTACTTCATCTCCACCAGGAATCCTTGCCCACCACCTCCACCCATATATCTTCCTGGCCCTTCCCGCACAGTGTTACCCACTCCAAAGCCCTTGGTACCCACTCAGCTGACAACGGTGCCGGGTGGTCAGCTTCAGCGATCCTCCCTTCTGGCAAGGACATTGGTGGCCTCCTGTAAGCTGATGGAGGGGACTTGCCAAGACAGCAATCTTCTGCTCAGGGTTTTGCTGCTCACAGCAAGTCCATGTGGGTCGATACTTCAGTTGTGTACACACAGGCTTGCTTAAGACCAGGCAGCACAGTAATTGCACT